TAAAATTATAATCAATTTACCGAGTCATTAAATTCCAATACAAAAGTGGGAAAACGTAAGTTTTGAGTAAATATGTGAAGAAATATTCTCGTCCTTGATTTACTGGAAACGTTTCTAATGGTTGCAAATTATAATCAAATTCAGCCAAAATGCATTTATTATAACCAGTAACCAAAGGACAAGACGAATAACCATTATAAGCCATAGTCATCGGTTTACCAGCTAAATCGTCTATAATATTTTTATATAGCACTTTCCCCTGAGCCGCTATAAAACAAGAAAAGTCAAATTAACATTTTGATTCATAAGTATAATAAAATCTTATTGTACCTATTGCTGCCATCGTTTTCGAATTTGGGGTACTTGTACAATCTCCGATACCATATATGTTCGGGTATTTCGTATGACGTAGAGTTTTAGGATCGACAGTCAAAAATCCTACTTCGTTTGTTAAAGAAGGATGTTTCTTCAGAACATCGGGTGGACCCATTGGTGGGCACACGTGAAGCAACGAATACTAAATAAAATTACATGTATATATTATAAATATATGCATAAAGCATCCAATAAAGGGTAAAAGATACCTTCTCAACAAACGTTTCATTTGATCCATCTAACTTCTGAAATACAGCTTCCTGTTTAACTGGATCTATTTCCACAAGATTTGTTTGAACATTCACAGTAATGTTTCTTTGTTTGCAGACATCCCAAAGTGAATCAGCATACTTTTTAACTCCAAATATAACTGGTAAAGCTGTATTATATACAACTTTCACGTTATCACGGACCTTTTTCTTTTCGAAAAGAAAGTATTAATATAATACATGTATTTAAACTGAAGAACAAAAAGATTAGTTATATTTACTTTACGAAAATAATCCTCTGCAATGTACGCAATTTTTTGAGGAGCTCCAGGACACTTAACAGGGCTGTTTGGGAAGGTAAATATTGCAGTACCCTCCTGAGTTCTTGCAATTTTTGGAAATACATTTACAACAGTATCAGACCCATAAATGGAGCAGACTTGTGAGAGACCATCTTTAAGACTTTTTACTAAACCAGGTATCTATAGAAGATGGAAAAACAAATTAATTTTTGCTCATCAATTAAAAAGTACAAAATATGTTTTCCAACCTCACTTTTTCCCAATACAGTTGAAGACCAACTGCAACAATCATAATTTCATATTCCACAGTATCTCCATTACTCATAGTCACTTGATTTTGGGTTGGTTCAAAGCTTATTACATTGTCTTCAAACCATTTTGCATTTGATGGTAAAGTATCTTTCATTGGTCTTTTTGAAGCTTCAAGAGACCTTATACCACCACCAATTAATGTAAACATTGGTTGATAGTAATGTAACTAAAAAATATTACCCTGATGAGCATAATACAATATTTGATTTAATTCAAGATAGTACTTCATTCTTTTACCATTTATCTACACATTTTAATAATAATAATAATAAAACAAATACTTGCTGCATTTGGTTCTATTATAGTAACTTGATTTGGATTTTTGAATTTATTTGCAAATTTTGCAGCCATGCTACAACCTCCAGTACCACCTCCAACTACCAATACTTTGCACCTAAAGTGTTTTGTTTCATTAACATTAATACACATATGGTTATGAAATTTCTAACATAGAAACTTTAATGCATTCTTTTTATACATATAAAATAACAGTACTTACGAATGGTGGGCATTTCTATATCCATTTTTAATTAATATATGTCTTTTAAGAGGTTCCAAATTACAAGTATTTAAACAAGACACAGTATAACGTAAACTCCTAATATGACTCATTTCTAGAATCAACAAATGGTACATTTTAACACAGTTTATTGTAATTATGTGAATATATTGTTCAAAGAAGTTAGTTGATTAATATAATTAATGAAGCAATTATTGGTTTAATAGTATTTTGAAGTACATAATATAAAAAGTGGTCATGGTAGCCAAACGTTAAATTACGTTAAAGATAAATTCCTTAATAAATTGATAAATGGAATGATAAATACCTGATTTTATATAATGTAAATGTTAAAATCAAATGTGTCGTATATTTACCAAAAATGTTGAATGCTTTTTAAAATAAATTTTTCAAATGAAGTTTAAAATACAGTACTGAATTACACTGTATTATATCCCCTTGTATTAGAAACGTTACATTGATAAAACCCAATCCGAATGTTCGCAATTACATATCGTAAACTGTACCCGGTATACGCTACGTCTATCTCTTTTAACCTTAAAACAATGCGCACGCGCAATTTTAAATTTCGAACAAGAATTAACCTATGATATTTTTAGACAGTTTTAATAATACGTTTAAATATTGTTATGCAATAATCATTAATACTATTATCAACTGGTAGTAGTAGTTTTATTGTGTATCGTTGTAATTAGATTTAGAAATAAACAATTTCTCAGGTAAATTATCATTATCCTTTAAATTAATGCATATTAAGATTAACTAGGACAAAAATTTAGTGAATCAAGTTGTTCTATCACCATTTTCCCGAATCATCGTTCATCGAATGTTAATCGTTCTAACACAAAATAGCAAATTTCTAATTTTTTCAATCTTTCCTTTATAAAATTATTGATCAAATCACTTTAACTCATGTGGAAAGTATCAAACGAATAAAGAGAAATGCGTAGTTCAGACGTAAGAAGGTAAAGTAACGAAGACCACGTAAATAGTTGTTTTTAGTCATTCTTTTGCTTCTCTCTTTATTGAGGATAACTTTTTAACGCTGCCTGAAACTAGGCAAGCTCGACTCGAGTCCCGAAAATCATCAGTCATGAGAGAGAAAAAGAAAGATTTTACACGCCTTTTTTCGTAAGTTTTTTTCAATAAAAAATAAAAAATAAACACATCCGTCTAACCCGAGTCGTCATCATGAAACAACGATTACACTCATAATGAGAAAAGGCATCGAACACCCTTCGATCCAAGGATGGGAGCCTACTTAAGAGAACAAAAGCAGTACCAACATGTGTGCAGTTTCAAAGTGAACTCTGATAAGTTCATTGTTTCGTTTTTAATATAAAATCACTTGAAATTTTACAAAAGAAACTTTCTCACAACCAAAGACTTCCGGATCGAGTGTGTATCCACGATACGCAGCTCCGAGGCATACGCGTGAAATACAAATGCACGAC